AAACACTAGAGGGGTTTTGTATCCTAATGGTTGAACCAGAGTCCCATTGGCAGATTTCATACTGTGGGAGACTGGGTACAAGTCCCTTAATTGGCATGATGGATTAATACGACAAATATAGAACGAAAGAGCTATTAAGAAATATAAAGTGTCCGACTTTGGTGTAATATTACAGTCAAAAGACATGGAGCGCGTCCCCGAATAGTTCGTTATTCAATGCATTATTGGATTTTCTATTTTATTTTTCGTTTTCAAACTTCAGTTGATTTCTGCAAAATTGCATCCAAGAACTTTGTGCGATCGCATAACAAAGACTCGAAATGAGAAGTAACTAGACGCTCTTGGAGCGTGAAGTCGGACTAGCTGTTTAAGACAGTAAAAAAATATATTTCTTTTTTTTCCCAAAATAGCCGAACTCACGGTCTAATAAGAGCGTCTAGTTCAAAATATGCAAAATGTCTTGACCCAAAAGGTCATGTAATTAACACCGATATGTCGCTAAGTGATAATACGTTGACCTCCCAGGCCAAGAAAAATACTTATCGTAAAAGATGCCTATAAAATCGCATTTTTGTTATTGATAAACAAAGTTTYTTCTCGTTCTAATTTGAAATCTTTGCCCACACAAGACTGCCTAACGCTAGAAAAGTCCTTGATTTAGTTTCGTAAGCATACTACTCGAAGCTCCATGCGATCTGCACATGCGGGTACTATTGATGCCTAGACAGATGCATTCCGATGAGATCACAGATACCACATTTGTAAACGAATAGTTTTTTTATCACATAAAAGCGCAAGTAGAATTTAACATTTACTAACGATATTCGTACATCTATATATTTGAGCTTCCGGCCGGTCATGTAATATCACAGCCATTCCAATAGTTAGTTATTAAATTCATAACTTCCGGTGGTCCAAACGCGACAAAATACACAGATAGATAGATAGATTGGCTAAAACCCGTGGAACACACCTTAGCGCTTCATTTTTTTCTACGCTTTATTACACTTTCTCTGCATGTTCTTTTATTCACGAGTAACACAGATATTTGCATAGGAATTTTTCCTATTGTATAAGAACACAATACCCATGTAACAGCATGCAAGACTGACCCAKGTSCTTGCTATTGTAAATGCTTTTGAACACATAAGCGCTCTAAATGTCAAGAAATGCGTTCGTGGAAAATCGCAGTGTAGTCAATAAATTGCGGAAATTGCAATTTTGCAGTTGTGTCCTTAATAAATATGAATTTGAAATTTTGTGTGGTGGGCAGAGTATTTAACCAATAGCACTATTGCACCCTCATACACTTTGTCTCTCCTTTACTATTACACCCTCATACACTTTGTCTCTCCTTTACTATTACACCCTCATACACTTTGTCTCTCCTTTACTATTACACTTTGTTCAACGGGTTAATGAGAACGACTCTAAAACAGTCCGACTAAAAAGTCTTTTCACATATAATGTTTCGCGGAATAACGTTAGTGTGTGTGTGAAGTCACATTGAGTGTCACGCATCTACAGTATCGCAAACTGAAATTACAGACCAATGGATTCGAGCATGTAATATTAATTAATGGAATATGAAACAGTTGTATGATCAGAGTCCTTTGTGATATCTTCAGACGCGTGGAGCGACCGTGCCATGTCGGGCATAATGTCAGCCTTGTCTGATTATATTTCAAGGAATCGAAGTATGTTTTTCATATTGATGAAAGCCGAACCAAGAAGATGAAAACGCAAATTGAGCAATTTTGGACATTAGAATGAAGGCAAACCTGAAACACGGAAATATTCAGAGAATCTTCTAAGAGTTAAAGAAAAAGACGAGAGTAGTTCTAGAGCACGTGGTTAGTACAAGAGAATGAAAGTCATTGATTTGCGTCCACCGCTCGCATGTTTCGAAAACTACCGCAAAAAGTATTTTCGTTATTATACAGCAACAAAAAGTAAGCGAGCTGCAAATATACATTTACATCTCTAAAACGATATGTTTTCTTTGAGAGGCGTCCAAATCAAGTAAAAGCACAACAACGGAGTGTAAGATATGTAGATATGTTTGTACAGTTTGCTGTGATTGGAAGTTCAAGTAGTCCCGGTTCAAACATCGATCCTTTGCAGCGTCTTGTATGTAGATTATTTGCAGTTAAATCAATATTGACATTTACAGATTAACTCATTAAGTTAAAATAAGTTCGTCTAAATGAACAAAATCTTGCAAAGTCACTAAATTCAGAGAGAGAAATTCTCATAAAGTTACTCTTTCTTTTGTATAACATTTTCGAGCTAAATATTATTCAATAAGTATGTTAGGATGTTAGACTATCTAAGTTCTTACCTCGAAAAGCAAGGACGTCCACGTTGCCACTTTGTCAAATATCGTGCTCGACCAGACGCCTCTTCGGTCGGAGTCTGAATATATTATAGATAATGACGTAGTATACCATTGTCGAATGTAACCAAATTTGGAACGGGACTGGCTATCCCATGATTCATCAGATAAAGCTCTGTCGAGGGACTTATTATTAACGGTCAGAATTTGGCTTTAGGTCATATTTAGAGAGGTATGTATGTTCATATCTATCAAAACTCGGACCGTTATTTTAAAATTGCAAAAAACGTTCGTAAACATCCAAAAATATCTTAAAAAATAGTCCTTAAAATCGAAATTTTGTGCAGATGTGTAGATGTCACACAAGGCTCGACTCAGGCTTCTATGATAATTCGCGGCCATTAGGAAGTTATCGAAAATTTATTAATTGTAATGATTCACAAAACGAGTTTTTAACAGATTTCCAAGAGGGCATCAAGAAATATTTTATTTTTTCGTGTGGTTTTCCTGAACTTTGGAAAAAATAAAGTCATTGCGCACTTTAAAAAGTACTTGAAAAGTCCAGGAATTTTGTAATGAAAATGTAACACGAACCCTGTAATTAATAAAACACATGAACATTTTTTTTTATTTACATAATACTGAAGCTTAACAAAATCATAGACCTGAAGAAATCAAATGTTCATTTAAAGTCAAACGACCTAAAGCTTGAACTCATAGACATAATTTAATGAATTGATTTTCTTGGAATATTGATTTGATTATTCAATTCGAACATTCATTCTTGATACGAAGTTTTTTATTCCAAAAAATAGTTTGAAATTTCGATTGATGATTGGATTAATACCATAACAATAAATCCTCCTAATATGGAACTAATAACACAGCAAACCCAACTCCAAGAAGCTAAAAATAACTGAAATAATTTTATTCTTTAAAAGAGGTGATGGCATGTTCAGGCGCAAAGCGTTCAACAGTTTCGCGCTTTTCTGAAAGCGCAAGGTCGCCATCAAGCCATCAAACAATGCTTTCTGACATTGAATCAACATTACAAAGTAATTAAATTGTTTCACATAATTGTTTTTTGTAATGGTAACTAAAGTCCAGGCTGCTGCAAATTTTCATTACCTTTATCATCTCCTTCGAAGTAACCTGGTAGGAAATAAAACTTCTTCTTAAGTCCATTCCTGGGAGATGAGACGAATTCGTAGTCACTCATTGACAATTTATCATCTACACGTGCCAAGAGACTGTCAACATCTTCTCTCCAAGCATAGTTTGAAAACACATCAACTAGAGTATGGACAAAGAAGGAATCGGCTTCCATATCTCGAAAGGAACCATGAGTACGATGGGATTCAAAATACGCAATAAGTGTATCGCGATATTCAATCACCATTGGCAAGCTAAAAGAGGTCTTTGCCACTGATTCATGTAAGCGTGTTTGTATGAAAATGAGCTTAGGTTTTCCTTCTAGACTCCTTACTTGACTCATCCAGTCGGCAATTTCATTACATTGTGTTTTCTCTCCAAGTCCAAGAGTCAATCCATCCTCGTCGTTGTAACTTGATGTCATCATGAAAATTGCAGAATCACACGGTGAACAATCCTCCGACATAGTGAAAACCTGYGAACGCAACAAGTCTTCTGTCCTCACAYKTGWTGATGRGACTTCGCTGACACGATAACCAATTTCTTCGAAAAGTTTGCGTAATTTGGWCATKTCWTTGCGAGAACGCGAGGTAGTGCTGTGAGARCTRTTGTTGATWATGACAGCCACTCCTTTGGGCTTTGATATCATTTTCAAAACATTGGGATTTTCGAGAGGAAGTCTTTCTGGAGAATACTTGATAACTACTAGGTCCTGCTCTAAGGGTTCCACTATTTCTGGAAGCCTTTCCAATGTCGTTCGATCCATCGATTCCATCATAATTTGGCTAACTTCTAATCTCATTTGGTAAATCGGTTGGGTATCTTYCAGWCGCAGWTTAAGAKAGTTGTTTCCTCTTAGGTTTAATTTTACAAGTGTCTTCATTGAAAAGAGATTTTCCACGCCWTWGGWAATRTCGTTGTGGGCAACATTCAGAGAACATAAGGACTTGAGGTCASRAAATTCAATAGGAATGGCTTYGATGTTGTTGTAWGACAAATCTAACGTTTCTAGAGAATTCATTCTTAAAATAACGTACGGTATGGTAGACAAGCCACACCTGACTAGAGATAATGATMTTAAGTTTAKCTTCGCCCAGTCATCGCCATCCTGATCATCTCCCAAATTGCAGTTTTCTAATATTAGTTCACGAAGGTCTSYCATTTGAAATACCGTTTTMGGTATACCAAATAGGTTGCTCAGMTTCAATGTYMGACCACCGTGTTTTGCAMTGYTATTTAAYTTTTCCAATGGCCATTCACTCATTAATATATGACGTTTTAACATCACTTCGTTCCTTTCAGATAAAAATTCACTAAATCTAAGCGAATATAGCTTATTGTACTTATTTAGAAGTTGAAGCAAAAAGCCAAAGTTTCCTTGAAATGCAGTCGGAATCTCAAACTCTATAGCAACGCCGCCTTCAGATACAAAGTACACTCTGTTTCTCAGTGTCCATAATAATATATAAATGCACAAGATCAAATATGGCACAGCCAACAGGATAGATGTTAAATGTACATATAGAAAATAGGCATTTAGAATATTTGTGCATTTGAAATATCTAGAGTTTTCAGTTAAGACATCCTCGATTGTACAGTTGATGTTTCTCTTCAGTTTAACCAAGGAATAAATGTTAACGCCGATAATTGATGACGACAGAAGCAATTGTGCTATAGCTTGAACAAAGTACAGCCAGTATATGTAATCCTTAGCCTCCACTTTTTTCAGAAACTGACTAGCTTTTTCACAAAGTGCCTTCGTTTTGAAAGCCACTGAAATGTCAAGAGTGCCCGATGTGCTTGTGGAGATCGACCCCTCGTCAGTATTAGTAATCTTCACTAGTGGTACCTGTTCAATTGTTGCTTCTGTATTTTGATTGTACTTCGAGGTGTCCCCTTTGCACTCAATCTCTTTAGATATGCTCCTGCCCCACACAACTCTATTCAACATCGGAGTAYTGTGGCATTCATTGACCAATGATATGAAATGATCTATGACTGATGTTGTCTGCGGTAGCTTTAACCAGACATTATGAGCAACGATAAGGAACACCGTCAGAAAAAAAATTATAATCGGAAAATATAAACTAAACGAGTAGAACCTGTAGCTACATTCCGCCTCAACATAATCATACTGGCGTCTGTCTTGTAATTTCAGTAGCAGTGTTGTCGTACTTGGGGTATTTTTGGACGARGCTGAGTAATTATTGATCGTGTGACCTAGAAATGAACATATGGACATTAGCCATTTAGAAAAGGTAAATAATGAGATACAGCGGAACCTCTCGTTATTCCGGCCATTGAAGGGACATCGAAATGTGGTCGTATTAACGGGGTGACCGTATCAACCATACAGAAAAGTATTACAGTTTAATTCATCGGGATCTGAAATTCCCACTGTATATAACTGTTTGGCCGGATTAAGCGGGTGTCCACTGTACCACAAAATCATTTCAATGCTTAATTTTAATGATTTTAATGATCTTAAAAGATGGTTTCCATGGTTACCTTTACAAACGTTCGTCTCTGAAGTTGGTGAACTTTGATTACGGCTTAAGTTACAATCAACAGCAGGGAGGCAAACTAAGTTTGTCTGCGTAGCTTGTATTGCCCCTGCTAGGATGGCAATTACCAACAAAGCTGTGGAAATATAGTCAAGTAATACATCCCACCAAGGCTTGATGAGTTTATAGTCTGGGTTGGTTGCTTGGAAACGATCCAGCTGATCGACTGAAAACATCGTGCAATAGGTAGAAGCTGTTAAAAGGGAAAATATTGCATTAGACAAACTGCAGATCATCGAGTGGGACAAGCCATCATTTTGATTTTAAAGTCACACGCGGTGATACAGATTTTATCAATTTTGATGAAAAGATCTCTCACGAGTGAGCGTAACGAATTTTCAACACGAAAATATAAAATTCGTATCTCCAAGCGACTGAGTAATATTCTGTTTATCATATAATTATGTATGAAAGCAAATGGTGTCGTAAAATATACCTTTTATTAATATAGAAAAATCTTGAACAACTTTTCGAAAGAGAGAAATATAGGTATTTCACAGGGGCAATCAGCACACATGAGCTGGCTACGATGATGGAAGACAGAGACGTTTGGAGTGCTATTGTTAAATCTCGGAGTCACCCGACCCTAACTAACTAACTATAGGTAATTCAACACAAGTGGAAGGAGATTTGAATTCAGCTTCGGTTGAACACGAAAAATGCTTGCAGCACTTAGCATCATTCACTACCAAATAGTGCTAACTGATAAGTAAA